CCTGTGCAGTGTGGTCTATTCTGACACATACGGGGTCCCAGGAGTCCTGCTGGGCTTCACTACAGCTGCATGGGCTTTGGTTTATGGGTTACCAGGAGCTGTTTATGCAGTACAGCAAAAAGCCCCAAACCCACTACTGTCCAGTTCCCTCTGACTCCTGACTGCCTTCCAGGGCAGAGAAGAACTGTCTGTCATACGCTTCCAGGGTCTAATCTTCATGGAAGAACACTGCCACATCTTTCTCCTACAGAGCAGCTGGTAGATTCGAACCATTGACCTTGAGCTTAGCAGTAAGATATGTTACAAAACTCCTGACCTTTTTGTTAGCAACTTGACAAGTCAGGCCAGCAGGGCTCCTGCTAGGGTGCTGCTGTGCTGGTGGGCATTCTTTGGGGTCCAGGAATTCTCTTGACACTTAAATCCGAAAGCCTTGGAATCCACCTGACTGGTGGAAGAGCAGGTTGGATGGAGTGCAAAGTTGGGGGTCCCCATTGGCTTTAAAAAGTCCTTCCGAGTTGGGAGAAACCCACTGGGGAGGGGAAGCTAACTGACGAGATAATACCACCGTTCACCAGCTTGCTCTGGGGCTGTAATCAGCGGCCTCCAGAGCTGTAATTAGCATTCATGGTTAATAAAGAGCATGCTAATTGCAGGCAAGAAAAGCCATCCTGCAGCCAGAAAGACTGAGAAGCTATGGTTTGTCTACTTGTTTACCCTTTGCATGGGAATCAAAGCAAACACACCCATTTTCGCAGGTCCTCCTCCGGGTCCTCCCACCTGCCTTTGTTGTTGTTGTAACTTTTAATTCTGAAATAATTATAGATAACAGGAAATTACAAATAAGTAGGACTTTTACCCAGCTTCACCCAGGGGTGTATAGTGTTTGTAGGAATCCGTGTATGGTGTCAATGTGGAAAGTGCTTGATTACAAACCAAAGGCTTGGAGGGTTTTAAATCTACCTGTAGGTACTGTGGAAGAAAGGCCTGGCTCTCTATTTCTGAAAACTCAGCCATTGCAAACCCTAAGGTGCACCATTCTGTCTAACACACAGGAGGTTGCTGTGAGTCAGAATCCCAGTGGTAGGTGACTTGATGGGGCTCAATATACACACAGTATTCAGGTTCTCCCCTCTCCTCCCAGGTCTCAAGTTCGACATGAGATATATGAACTTCCGTGTGAAGGCCTGTAACAAAGCTGTTGCAGGCGAGTTCTCCGAGCCGGTGACCCTGGAGACACCAGGTGACTGGCTCCCACCCCTCTCTTGCTGACTCCTCAGCTCCTTCCTCCCAGGAGCCTGGGAGTCCTGGGTAATGAGAACCCCCTAGTCAGCCCTCTGTGGCCCTTGCTGCATTGGCTGCTAGGAAGCTCAGGCATTAATCGGAGGGCAGCTTCCTCAACCTGAATGTTTGGTGCATTCCCTGCTTTTGTTTTTGATGTTGAGGTTGTGCTGTTATACCTGGGTGACATTTATATTCTCTCTCTTACACATTTCAAAAAGTAGTTCTCTGGAGTTGAAAGTAGGATGTTATAACAATAGTAAAGACAGATTCAATAAGTTTCAGTGAACACTTTGCATGCACTGCTAGAAGCGAGTCCAGCCGCAACCTAACCTAATCCCTTCATGCTTTAGTCTAGCCCCTTTGTGGGGATTAATCCTCAGTGGAGACTCAGGGTAGAACACTTGGCTTGAAAATACTTCCAGACCCAGGGATCGTTAGGCATCAAGCCCGCAGCCTTCAGCATGTGGTTTTGTGTTCTGCCCCCACACCTTCCCTTGTTTCTAGTGTCTTTCTGCTTGTTTGTCTCTCTATGAGATTTGGTCTGTCTGTCGCTCAGTCGCTGTCTGTGTCTCTTCCTGTCCCTGTCTTGGTCTGTCTTGGTCACTGTCGGACTCTCTCTGTGTCTCTGGATTTCCCCCATCTCTGTGACTCCCGTGTTTGCCTGGCCCCAGCGTTCATGTTCCGCCTGGATGCATCCACATCCCACCAGAACCTGCGGGTGGATGAGCTCTCTGTGGAGTGGGACGCCATGGGCGGGAAGGTGCAGGATATCAAGGCTCGCGAGAAAGATGGCAAGGGGCGGACGGCATCTCCTGTCAACTCCCCAGCCAGGTAGCCTGTCCCCCACCCTCTCTGTGTCTGGTGGAGAAGATCAAGCTGGGCACAGACACACTCAGCCCAGAGTGTGCAGGGCTGGGGTGGAGGGAGCCCAGTGAGTGAATGAGGGGACACTTTGCATTGGGTTTTGACAGTTGAATAGGAGTTTTCTAAATGACAGAGGGCATAGGTGTTCATGCTGACATGAGGGATCTAATGTATATAAACAAAGTTAAATATTTTTAGGGATTGTCCAAAAATCCACAGTTGCTAGGTTGGGCCAGGACAGCCTTCCTGGGGCTGAGGTGAGATATGAGCTGGGATCCCCTCATCTCTGCACCTACAGGGGTACACCATCACCCAAGAGGATGCCTTCAGGTCGTGGGGGACGAGACCGCTTCACAGCTGAGTCCTACACGGTATTGGGTAAGGAGCAGGGGCGGGGAAGATGAGGGAGGAGTGCTGAGTAAGGGGTAAAGGGAACCCCTCTGACTGGAGAAACTGAAGGGGCCATCCACAAAGCTGCTGTTGCTGTGTTTCTGAGGCAGTGGGAAGTTTGAAGGTGAGAGGTCACTGGGGAGCCAGAGCACTTGGAGTTAAGGACAGAGGCTTAGGCTTGACTGGAGATCTCTTGAGTCTATGGAGGAGCTGGGATTTGGGGAGCAGCTGGAAAGCACTGTTGCCTGTGGAGAAGCTGACACCAATCTGAAGCTTGGGGAAGTGGCTTAGTATTTGGGATGAGCTGGCGAGTCACTGGTGTTGAAGGAGAAGCTGAGAGAATGGTTAGAACTGACAGGGGGGTCATACCACAGGAGTGACTGGGTGAGCGCAAAGCTGGTGTCAGGGGAGGAGCTGGGGCTTAAGGGAGTCACCACTGTCCAGAAAGAGCTGGGCAAAGGCTGAGGCAGAGAGAAGTGGGGGTGGGAAGCGGCATATCTGGTGGGAGGCAGCCGGGGATGGGAGGGGATTGCTGGGACCTGGGAATAAAGCAAGACCTGAGAGGAAGAGAAGGCTCTGTGGAGGAGTGGGGAATCGGAAGAAGAAGCAGAGGACAAGGACGGTGTCTACCAAGTGGCTGAGCCTAGAGAGGGAAGTAGCTCAGCCTTAGCCAAGTTGAGACAGTGTGATCAGGGTAGTGGCGGAGACGAGGAAGGGGCGAGACTTGAGTTTTAGGTGGAGCCGGGTGGGCTATAGTATGGAAGGAACATCAGGAAGAGCTGGGCTGGAGAGCAGCTGAGACAGCTGGCGTCCGGGCGTGTGATTTAGGGATCATCTAAAACAAGAGAGGCCCAGGACGCTGAGCAGAGCTCAAAGCCAAGGCAAGGCCCAGGGTAGCTGGGGAGAGTAACAGGCCTGAGGAGAAGCTGGCTGCCAGGAAGGGCTGAGACAGTGGAGTGTAAGTGGTTGGGGAGCGGGAGACAGAGGAGCATCTAGTCTCCATCAGAAATCAGCATCCAGGTCCAATCTGGATTCAGAGAGGGAGAGGAAGGGGCCACCGCCATCTGGGGAGTATCCAGACTCAAATACAATCCGTGGGAATATGAAATCAACCAGGGCCACGAGTCTGGGAATTAATTGTCTGTTCTCTGGGAAGGACTGAGGGCATATGAGTTTTGTAGAGAATTTGGAAGGAGCACCTGAGATTTAGAGAGTATTAAGCTCATTGAGTACCCACCTAGCTGCAGTTGAGGTGGGGTTTAAGCCAGGGATACCTGGCAGGAATAGCTGGGGCTGGAGGGGTGTCTGGAGGGGGCAGCTGGGGTCTGGGGAATAGCTGGGTGGCTGCCCTTTGGTGGAAGGCCCCTCTGCAGTTCTACCAGCCCCTGTCCACACGCCGCTCCACAGGGGACACGCTGATCGATGGCGGGGAGCACTACTGGGAGGTGCGTTATGAGCCTGACAGCAAGGCCTTCGGTGTGGGCGTCGCCTACCGCAGCCTGGGCCGCTTCGAGCAGCTGGGCAAGACGGCCGCCTCCTGGTGCCTGCACGTAAACAACTGGCTGCAGGTCACGTTCACGGCCAAGCACGCCAACAAGGCCAAGGCGCTGGACGCCCCCGTGCCCGACTGCCTGGGCGTGCACTGCGACTTTCACCAAGGTGACTCTGACCGCCCGGTCCCCTCCCGTCCCCTCTGCCTTTCTCTTCGCCCTGACCCACCCCACTGCTGACCGGTCCCCCTTCTGCTCTTCCCTGTGCCCCAGGCCTCCTGTCCTTCTACAACGCCCGCACCAAACAGCTGCTACACACCTTCAAGGCCAAGTTTACTCAGCCCGTGCTGCCTGCCTTCACGGTGAGCCCGACTCCTCTGCTCGTGGACCAGAAGGGGTGGTGCCAAAGGGCTCCACCTCTCAGCTGCCCTCCGTGTCTCTCTCTCCCAGGTGTGGTGTGGCAGCTTCCACGTGTCTACCGGCCTGCAGGTGCCCAGCTCCGTGCGCTGTCTGCAGAAGCGGGGCAGCGCCACCAGCAGCTCCAACACGAGCCTCACCTAGGCCCTGCCCGCCCTGCCGGGCTGTCTTTGGGGATCCCAGCCTGCTCGGCTGGGCGCCCTCCTCACTTGCTGCTTGGAGCCTTAACTCCTGATTTGGGGGGTACACCAGGGAGCAGGCACCTCACCTTGCTTCCGAATAAATGTCAAACACTGGCCAGGCTGTGGGACTGGTTATTTGGAGCTCAGTGGTGCTTAACTGGCCCTCTACTTTCTTGCCTGTGAAAATGGGCTCTTTTTCTGCAGGGTCAGAGTTTGTTAAGCTGAGGATCTTCAGGAGGAAGTAGCCATCACAGTGATCCCCAAAACCAAGCCAAAGACAGGAGCTCTGGGGTCACAGGCTTTAATCCTGGGTACAGAGAATCAGCTGAGGTGCTGTACCCGAGATTGACCAGCTGGTCTCTCCAAGTGTCCAACCTCAGTGCTCCAGCGCCCGCCTCTTCTGCAGTTTCTCTTCCAGCTCTGCGGTCACACTGGCCAGCCCTGGGGAGCAGGCACCCGAGTTTCAGCGAGGGCAGCACCCTCATCTGTCTCTCCCCCCACCCCCCATGACCACTCAGAACTGGCTACAGAATTTACAGAGCCCAATGCAAACAGAAACAGTGGCCCCTTGTTGAATAAGTGTTTGTTGGTTTTGCAGCCAGCTCTGGTTCGTGTGTGTGTAGAGCAAGTCTCCATAGGGTTTTGGGAAGCAGGTTGCCAGGCCTGTCTTCTGAGGTACCCTGGGTGGGTTCAGACTGCTAACCTTTTGGTTAGCTGTGGAACGATTAACCATTACAACATCCAGATCCACCACTGCCAAGTTGATTCTGACTCCTGATGGCTTTTCAGCAGGTTTCCACAGCTCTAAATCTTAATGGGAGCTGCTGGCCTCATCCTTTTTTCCTTCAGAGTAGCTGGTGGATTTGAACTACCGACCTTTATGCTAGCAGCCCAACACTTAACCAGGGCTCCTCTGTGCCAAATGAGGACATCAGAGATTTCAAAATGACATTAAGCCAAGAGCAAAGTTGTAGAAGTGGGGGGCCCTGAGCGACAGAAGGGGTCCCCCGCCCACGCTGCTGTTCCCTTACCTGCTTTGGGGAGGAAAGGCTGAGCTGTGCTGGCCGCCAGCTTCTTGGTCAGCAGGCAGCTGCTGAGGGCCTTGTGTTCTGCAGAGCAAAGAGCTGATGAGGGCTGAGGCTGCCCTCCAGGGCTGAGGGAGGGCTGGGCAGGCCCCTTACCTGGTCTGGGCATAATGGGTGGCTTGGGGACCTTTGCTTGCACTTTTGGTGGCTTGGGCTTCAGGGCGACATGCCGCCTCAGGGAAGTCACTGTGTGAATAGATGTGTGGACCATCACACTTGACCTTGACCTGCTGTCACTGCCCGCAGCGCCTCATCTCTGTCCCCCTCACCACACCCACCTTCATCGTTCACATAGCAGGCAGCTGGGGAGTCGTCGATGGGGACCACATAGTTCTCGTCCTGGTTGGACGGTGGGGGCAGCGGGGGTAGGGGAGGCAGCTTGACCTGAGTGGACACAGGTCTGGATGCAGGAGGTGGCTGCTTGGGGGCGCCTGCAGGGGGCGCAGGGCCTGGTTGGGAAAGACAATTAACTCAGGTTTGAGGAAAATTCGTGGTTTGAGGAGGCTGGGGATGGGGGGGAACCTATAGCTGACCCTCCAGTGGGTTTTCAGAGGCAGTCACATGGGAGGAGATGGCCCTTCCTTCTCCCGCAAGGCAGCCAGTGGATTTGAACCGTGTGCCGTTCATCTGCGGAACTGAAGGTGTGCGTGCACACACGTCTGCACATCCTATTTTACGGTCTGTGCAGCTGAGTTGCATAAAATAAGCGTCAATTTGGATAAATAAGATATATAAGTTAGCTGTGGCTTTGCTAACTTCGCTACCATCCGTGTGTGTGTGTGTGTGTGTGTGTGTGTGTGTGTGTGTGTGTCTACATCAAGGCCTGAAAGTGCATGCTGGGGGGTTGTCTGCATGGGCGTGCTACCCATGACCATTCCAATAGAATCCAACCTGACTCAGACCCTCATGTGTGTCAGGGCAGAACTGTCTTACAGGGGCTTCTCCATGGCTGATGCGTCTCAAGACAGACTGTCAGGCCTGTCTTCTGGGGTAGTACCTCTGGTTGGACTTGAACCTCAAACCTTTTAGTCAGAAGCCAAGCTAGGGGCTCTGGTGGCATTATCTGTTGAACTGCTAATCTAAAGGCCAGCAGTTCTAATCCACCAGCAGCTCCAAAGGAGAGAGATGGACAGCCTGCTGCTGTAAAGACTTACAGCCTTGGGAACCAGTGGAGGTGTGCTCTGAGTTAGACGTCACTGGTGTATTTTTTTTTTTTTTAATTTATGTGTGGGCTACAGGATGTGAACACATGGATCACAGATACTGTTGTGGACATAGTTACTCAGCTGTACATGGGACTGTGGTATATAAACTTCTGGTTATGTAAGAAGGCCTGGTGCACGTATATGCATGTGCACACGTGTACGCACATGGCCATCATGCCTACAGAATGCCTGCCTAGCCAGAGAGACCACCCCACCCACCCATGGCCCTCAGTTTCTCTACACGATGTAACCAGACTGAATCTCCCTTTCCCAAGACACGCCCACTTCCCCTTCCCATCTCTGGACCTTCACTTCTCCAAGTGCACCCTCTGTCCCCCAGAAACCCTTTTAAAACTTCAGCAAATGTCCCCTCTTCCAGGAAGCCTCCCTGGGTTGTGTCCTACTCTTCTATCCAACTCTAGCCACCATCACCCCAGTCCTGGGGTTGACTGCACACGACCTGGAGACCTGCTGTCCAGCTTTGCCACCACCCTTGATCTGAGAGCCCCCTAGGGACAGTTTCTGGATAATTTTTGGAGTGTCCCATCTCTGCATTCGAGGTCTGGTACACGACGTGCGCACATGACGGCTAAGGGTATTATAGCTAGACCTGAGTCCTGGCCCTTCCCTCCATCTGTCCCAAGGGCTTGAGAAGCAGCTGTCACCTGGAACTGTGGCCACGGGGGCGGAGGGCGCCACCCACACATTCTCCCCGTTCTCTTTATCTGCCTCCACGAAGCCTGGAAGAGAGAGGGCGGCCTGGAGGGGGCGAGGTGGAGAGGGGTCCCCTGTGGGGGCAGCCTTGTCAGGGCGCGGGGAGGGCGCGGGACTGGCGACGCGGAAGACCCGTGCTCCCCAAGGCCACACCCACCTAGCACCTTCTCGTAGTCCTCGTCCAGCAGGAAGGGCACCAGCGCCTTGTTAGTGTGTGACACGAAATAGTTGACCACAGCGTCCAGTGAGGGGCAAGAGAACTGGGGGTGGGGGTGGGGCGTGGTCAGGCAGTGGTGATGGGTAGGGGAGGCCTCGCCAGGCCGCTTATCCACCGGAGTCCCCGGCTTTGCCCACCACTCACCGGGTCCTCCACGTCGATCACATACTTGGATCCCTCCTGCTTCACCTTGTAGTGCCGGACAACAGGGGAGCTGCAGGCCGAGAAGGGGCCAGAAGGGGCTTCGACTTCCAGGCTAACCCCCAGCAGGTCCCAGGCAAGCATCTCGACCCCGCCCCCAGGAGGACAAGCTCCATCCAGGGTCTCCGAGGAGGGCTGCCCCGGCCCCACCCCCTGGAAGGCCAGCAGCGACTGACCCCGGCCATCCAAGGCCCCGCCCACGTCCTCACCACGCCCATAAAAGGCCCGCCCTCCTGACCCGCCCCATATCCAGGTGCTCCCCAGGAAGAGGCAGCCCCAGGCTTACTCCCTACTAAGTGGCTCCAGCCAGACTTCACGCCCATGGAGGGCCCTGGACAGTGGTCCGCGTATAGGGCAGATCCGTCCACTACATTTGAGCCTGGCCCCCAATTCAATGGGTGGCTCTGCCCACTCGCAGGGCCTGATCTCATACCAGCCCTGACCCCGCCCATAGCCCCCCCTTTCGGAGTCGCCCCGCCCCTCGCTGACCACGTCCCCATGGTTGACCCCGCCCCACACCCTCGCTCCGTGGCCCCACATGCGCACCCGTTGAGGACCTGGCGGGTGGTGACCGACACGCCGCCCGGGTCGCCCCCGCTGGGCCGCAGCAGCAGGTTCCCGCACTCGGGGTAGCGCTCCAGGAGCAGCTGCGCCTCCAGCCGGCTCACCTTCAGGAAGCACCTGCGGCAGGTAGGGCACGCCCTCAGGGCAGGCCCCGCCCACCTCCCCACCTGCCCTGGGCCCGGGCCGAGGCCACGCCCTCTGAGGACTCTTCTGGCTCCCAAGTACAGGTCCTGACCCTGTAGACCTAACCCCACTCCTGGAATTACAGCCCTGCCCCGCCCCTAAGCACCTTGACACGCCCTTGACACGCCCCTGAAATCCTGCCCCACCTCCTGTCCAGGTTCCGCCCTTCTACTCCTAGCTCCTCCCTCCCCGAGTCTAGCCACTCCCCCAGTCTTTTAGCCCCGCCTTCCAATGCCTTGTTTACACCCCTGATAATTCATTCTCACTCTCCTGGTACATGAATTCTGCCCCGCCCCCACCCAGCGCCCCTGGGAAACCAGGCTCCACCTCCTGGCATCCTGACCCTGTCCCAAGACCCAGTCTCACCCCAAATTACTCAGGCCTGACCCCATAGATTCCTTTTCTCCTTAGTTTGAGACCTAACTCCCTCCAGCCAGCCAGGATGCTGTCTCGTCTTCAACCTTACACGGCACTCTTCTCCATGCCCACTTCACACCCACACTCCACCACCACCCCCGACCCCTCAGACCATGGTGGGGGCCCACTCACGCAGGCGTCTCGAGCGCACGGCGAGCCTCCTCCTTGTCCCGGGCCTCGGCCATCATGTACAAGTGTCCAGGAAGCAGAGTCAGGTTGGAGGGGACACAGAGCTGTGAGGAGATAGGATTACAGGACCATGGCCAGCCAGCAGAGAACAGGAGTCTGTGCCCATTTCACAGAGGGGTAAACTGAGACCAGAGGATGGAGCCATGCTGGGAAATCAGATCTGAGAGCTCCAAGGTCGCCTGAGACCTCGGGTGCAGAGAGGGCTTTCAGAAGATTTAGGGGGACTCGTAAAAACAGACAAAAAATAACTTCTGAAGTGGGGAGAAGGGACAAAGGCAAACTGGACTCTAGGGTCTAAACTCAGCGACCTGCAGGGACGGATGACGCCAAGAACAGTGAGGAGAAAGAAACCAGGACTGCCTAACTAAATGCAGGGCAGCTAAGTGTTGCCGCTGCACCTGGCCTGGTCTGCAGGCCACCTCTTTGAGATTCACTTGTATTACTCTAGAGGGTTGATTGGGGAATGAAGGGTGGAGATTAAAGCAGAGTGTAAGAAGTGTTGTGAAGGACACGTCAACCACTCACCTCCACCACAGTCAGGATGAAGCCTTTCCACATCTCCCTGGACTCCAGGCTGTCCACCTGAATGGGGGAGAGAAAGGACAGACCATCTCCGTGAGCCTCTGTCTACTCTGTGAACTGAGGGGAGGAATAATCGTCCCTGTTCCATAGGGTTGTTCAAGTTGAACGTTAACACCTTGAGCTGTGGTGTTGGAGAAGAGTGCTGAATATCCCGTGGACTACCTGAAGAACCAACAGACAGGTCTTGGAGAAAGTGCAGCCAGAGGGCTCCTTAGAGTCAAGGCAAAGCCTCATCTCTCATCTCTAATACTTTAGGCATGTTGTTAGAAGATCCTATTCCTTGGACAGGGACACCATACTTGGGAAGATGGAAAGTTGGTGAAGGAGAGGAAGACCTCCAATGAGATGAATTGACCCAGTGATTGCAGCAGTGGGTGAGGATGCCACAGGATAGGACAGGGTTCAGATCTGTTGTTCACAGGGTCTCTGTAAGTCATAGTCGACTCGGTGTCACCTAACAATAGCAGGTGAGTTTAAGGTAGAAGGTCATTCAGGGTGACCTTCTAAACCACAGATACGCACCCTATCCTGCTTATCCTTACCATCTCTGATGTGCTCAGCCAACTGCTACAATCACTGCCGACTCATCCTGTGAAAGGTCTTCACTTTCTCTTACCCCCCACTGCCCTCAGCACATCTTTCTGACAATGTGCCCAACGTCTATGACATGAAGTCTCCCATCCTTGCTTCTCAGTCATTAGTAAGTGTAAACTATTTTTTTTTTCATTTCAGGCACAACTTTCTTTATTTTGTGTTTTGTTTTGTTTTGAAATCTGTAAAAGAAACAGGGTCCTAGAAGCTGCAGTAATCTAAGCGGCAGCAAATTTCTGCGTTTGTCCTTTGTTTTGTTTTTATACGTTTAAATTATCACATTGCTGGACACACCTCATTTCCATGTATTGTATTATTTTTTTTAAATCACAAATAATTTCTTCTTCCATTAGAGTTGATACAGTTTTAAATAGCAACAAAGTACACAGTGGTGGAAAATTGGCATAGAACCTACAAGTACTTCAGTCACAATAAGGCTGTCCATGCTTCATCTGTTCAAACCTTGATGTCGTTTTTTACTGACCAACTTGAGGAGGGGGAAAAATAAGCAAAACTATTCTGATCTTGCTCTCTAGGACCCTCGTTTCCAACATGACGAAGAAAAGGAGAAACAATGGTCGTGCCAAAAAGGGCCGCGGCCACATGCAGCCTATTGGCTGTACGAACTGCGCCCAGTGCGTGCCCAAAGGCAAGGCAATTAAGAAGTTCGTAATCCGAAATATAGTAGAGGCATCTGCTGTCAGGGACATTTCCGAAGTGAGTGTTTTCGATGCCTATGTGCTTCCAAAGCTCTATGTGAAACTGCACTACTGTGTGAGTTGTGCCATTCACAGCAAGGTGGTGAGGAACCGTTCTCATGAAGCCCGAAAGGACCGGACACCTCCACCTAGATTTAGACCTGCAGGTGCTGCCCCACGACCACCACCAAAGCCCATGTAAGGATCTGATTCCTTAAAACGCTGAAGAAAAAACTGGTCTGAAAATAAAATGGAAACTACACTTTAAAAAAAAACTATTCTGAAGGAAAATTAGAAATTGTTAAGAAAGAAATGGAACGCATAAATATTGACATATTAGGCATTGGAGAGATGAGATGGACTGGCATGGGGCA